GTGTGTGTGTGTGTGTGTGTGTGTGTGTGTGTGTGTGTGTGTGTGTGTGTGTGTGTGTGTGTGTGTGTGTGTGTGTGTGTGTGTGTGTGTGTGTGTGTGTGTGTGTGTGTGTGTGTGTGTGTGTGTGTGTGTGTGTGTGTGTGTGTGTGCGTGTGTGGTGCGTGTATGCTCATGTGCTCGCAGGGGTGGGTATGAGTTAGAAGCGCGGTGGTGGTGGTGGTGGTGGTGGTGGGGGGTGATTCTACACGTGGAAGTGATTACGACTAGCATTACACATAAGAACTTGGAGCAGTCAGCTTTACAGTGAAATATGATGTCAACTTGCTCATGTAATGAGGATTGAATAAACACACCCCTGGTGCAATGGTACACTGGTTATAATTACTCTGCCTATCATCATGAGTATGCTGTGTCCCTCATAAATCCATATAATAGTAATTCATCCATAGAGAGTATCCAGCTCTATATATATCAATATATGGGTGACACACTAGACGGCAATTAGCGAAAGCGGATCTGGCTCTATAAAGCCTTAAGATAGCAAGATAACATCATATTTCATGTTTTCACCGACTCAGTTCCAAGTGCCGGTCTGGCATTATATCAGTTTATAAATCGCTGTATAACCTGATATATGCATACGATTATAATATTATAATATTGAGGTGGGTGATTATGAACATAGATATTATCAAATTCATAATAGAAAATTTTCTATTATGCCCTTATGGACTCTTGATATTATATGAGCTATCTGTAGACATAGATCTGTTGCTATATGACTGCTGGCGTGCTGCCCTCATGAGACTGTACTGACATGGTAACGTTGATCTTGCTGTCGTACGGGTGAATAAAAATTATGTGCAATTGCCAAACCTAGATATAATAATATCAACCAACAGAGTATGGTAACTGTCCCTAGTGCCTCTACTATGTTAGGTTACATTAGTATACATGAGGTTACATTTTTATTGCACGGTTTAGCCGATTTAGTCTTATGTAAGCATGAACACACTCGTTTGTGTCACCATTCAGTGCATTCACCAATACTAACCGTTTTAATCACGATGACACGAGTGAGCACTGAGCACTGACAATCCGGACCTACGACTCATTTGCCCCGCGACAGTACTGACATGGGGAGAGATCGCACTGCACTTTACATGCAGGATCGTGGTTGATTTCTAACCCTTGGGCTCTTATCGATGTATACGCAGCCCGAGCGTCTCACAGGAAGTCAACAATCAGCTGACAGTCACAATCAAGGATGTTGGCAGGTTATACACGCAGCATGCAAGGCTTGTACAGCACATACATCCCTGCGAGCAGCAGTGTCTGTGTGGGTGTGGGTGTCTCCCCCCTCTCTCTCTCTCTTTCTCTCCCCACCCCCTCTGTGTGTGCGCGCGCGTGCGCATGTGTGTCTGTGCATCCGTGTGGTATGTATGTATGTTGTGCGTGTGTGTGTGTGTGTGTGTGTGTGTGTGTGTGTGTGTGTGTGTGCATGTGTGCGGTGTGTGTGTGTGTCTGTGTGTGTGTGCGTGCGTGTCTGTGTGCATACATGTGTATATATTTGTGTTGGAAGAGCCTAAGAAAAAGATCCTACCAAAAACGTGGTTTTTATAAGTAACCATCCTAAACAGATAAATATACATAATATGTTGCTAGCTCGTAACTACCACTAGCTGGAATTGAATGATCACACATGCCGCAACGGAAAGGTAAAATCACACAAGTCAGTGGCAGCAACTAAAAATTTAAACTATTAGTATTACACAGAATTAATTATTGACTGCATCTGAACACATAATGGCAAAAAATACGTGGAGTTACAGCCATTGCATCCAAAGACAATAGATGCTGATCTCATCTATATTATTAGGAGTGAGAATCCCTACTGTAAGGATTCTCACTCCTAATAATATAGATGAGATCAGCATCTATCGAGACTTGAAGAATGATGGGAGAATTAAGACCTTGCATGGCAATTTCCATGGCCACGGCACAGAAACTTGAGGCGAAAAAATATCCTTTTTATTTTTATCTTTATTTTTATTTTTATCTTTCTTCTATTTATATATATAACACTTTTTTTTCCGCCTCAAGTCCCTGTGGGCCACAGCACTGAAAAATATCTAAATACAACACAAGTAGAGAAATCGCATCTTGTAGCTGTAATAGTAGCATCAGCTAATACTCCCTGTACAGATGAAAAAGCCCCTAGCTGGACTATACTAGTAATGACAGGAGTCTATCAATAGACTTTTGATAGACTCATGGTATGGTGATTGAAAATCCATCAAAAATGTTATCAAGCCATTCAGGAAAAATTAATGCGTGAGATAAACCTTAGTTCTTACCAATACTAGCCACTAACGCGGTCAGTAGATGGGGAAATTTGCACTGTCGTTGAAAAACTGTGCTCAATTATCCCAGAAAGAAGAGACATGCAAGCTGGTGTCTCGAATACAGTAGGGCCTATTCAGTAATTCGCTGTGCAAATCGGGTGATATTAGAACATGATGGCTATGTATCAACATTGCAGCATGTGACACCTGTAAACTTGCACAACATATAGCGACCAGTATCGAATTTACGCAAACAGCAATAGCTGTACCATTTGTAGTGTAAATATGCAGTAAAATGGCAATTACCTTTACTTTAGCCTTTACTTTAGGATTTAGGTAGTTGTAGTACTACTACTACTACTACTACTAGTCCTAGATGTGGTACAGCTTAGTCCGTAGAGCTGATGAATCCTGCCCTCAATTGCTGGCAATTTCCTGAACTGACAGTGACAGTGTTAATGCCAGTCACAAATCAAAATACCTATTTCAGTATTTGTGTACGCACTCAGTACTGTCAGTACTCAGTAGGCCTAACTGTCAGTGTCACTAGTCGGATAGTCCCTCTGGACCCTCAGCGTGATCAGGCTATGTCGAACAAACTACCTATAGACGGACATGTACCGCAATCACCCCATTATATAAACTCTATACTTTAATAAATCAGAAGGTTCAACTTACTGTTACAATAGTGACATGTATCGACACAAACAACTTTCATCTGAAGGAAGTATCAAAACAAAAGTTTCAAACTTTTTGCGGTAGGAAATAAATCGCTGCGTATGCCATACTTCCGCCATCTAGTGGTAAAATAAGTTAACAATCGGCAACGATGATAATTTTGCACGTACACAAGTTAATGAAAATGTTTTACAATACCACTTATATATTGACATAATGGACTTCAGAAAACCTGGTCATCAAGCTTTAGTAGCAAGTCAATATTTTTTAAGGTAGTACTTCTATGCATGATGGGTCCGAAAATTACCCCCCCCCCGCCACATTATCTAGACGGGAATTTTATGATTTGTGTCGAGCTTGTAAATGTCAAAATAACCCAGTCACACTTAAATATATCTTAGATATAATTACATTCTTCTAGTATTTCAAATAATCTGTCAGAATCATCACGTAGTAATGTTGATACATGGGCTAAAATATACGAAATTAACGCGCTCTGAGAACAAAATTACTGTGGGCGATTACACGCGTGAGTCGTCACATCTGTCCTGCCATGCCACGAGATTTTAAATCGTAGGATGGCGACTAAAGATTAATTAAATTAGATAAATTATTCGTGCTTTAATACCCTGCCCCCTGGGGCGCAAATCCAGGGGGGGACAGGGGGACATGTCCCCCCCCACGAATTTGGATCACCATGATTTTGTGTGTAAGTGTGTGTGTGTGTGTGTGTGTGTGTGTGTGTGCATGCGTGCGTGTGCGCGCGTGCATCCATGTGTGTGTAGTATATACGCCTCACCAAGTATATCCTCACATATACGCAATAAACGGTGAGGTGACGTCAGCATTTACCGTTCTCCTCCTCGGAACTACTGGCCGAGCACTCCATCGCTACTCTCTTGTTGTTTGTCTGCCGGCGTGGTGGCGTCACAGCTAACATGAAGGCGGTGGCGCCACCACCGTCCATCTACACCGACTGTAGCCCCTCTATACGACGGTATGTATGATGCAGTATGTACAGGGCCACTCAAGTGCCACCATATCCACGTCAGCAGTACATAGTACACACACCTCAACAGTATGTATGGTCCACACCTCAGCAGTTCGTATTGGTACACACACCTCAGCAATATGTAACAGTATGGTCCACACCTCAGCAGTGTGTATAGTCAACACCTCAGCAGTACGTATGGTCCACAGACTCCACACATCAACAGTATGTATCGTACACACACATCAGCAGTATGTATGGTCCATACACCTCAGCAATATGTATGGTCCACACCTCAACAATATGTATGGTCCACACACCTCAGCAGTATGTATGGTCCACACACCTCAACAGTGCCAAAGTCCTCATGTCTTAGCAGTATGTAGCAATGCTCTATACATATGGGTTCAATGCGCGGCCAGGTAACACTGTCTGGAACCGTATATATATATATAGCCTGCAGGGCTGTTCCTAGGGACGAGCGAGCGCTGCCACGCTAACCGAAATTACAGCCGCGCTAAAAATTAGCGCAACATCATCATCATTAGCATCAGCAGCAGGACTGCTGCTTCTGTTGCTATTGTTGTTGCTGGTGCTACTGCTGTTGCGGTTACTGCTACTGCTACTCCTGCTGCTGCTCCTACTGTTGTAGGTCTTGCTGCTGCTGCTGCTGTTACTGTTACTGTTACTGTTACTGTTACTGTTACTGTTACTGTTGCTGTTACTGTTACTGTTACTGTTACTGTTACTGATGCTGCTGTTGTTGCTGCTACTGCTACTGGTGCTGTTGTTGCTGTTACTGCTGCATTTATGTTTCATTAGGTGTCACCACCGCGGGCGCCGCCGCCGCTGCTGTCGTCTGCTATGTCCGCTGCTTCACCTATAGCAGACACGTCCGTGCTCATACTATTACGAGTCTTAGTGCCTGGCACAAAAGCCGTGTTTTCTGCACGGGCTTATAATGGCCGCTTGCGGCTTAGTACGTACGGTGCGGGAACACTGGGCAGAGCCTTCACGATGCTGAGACGAGACCGCTTCCTACTAATAAAAAATAATGTAAAAAAAACAATGTAAAAAAAATAAATTCCATCAAATGTTCCTCTCAGTCTTCTCGCTCTCTCCATCACACACACACCCCCCCACATTTCAAAATGGATTTGCGCGCCTGCCTGCCCCTAACCCTAACCCTAACCCTAATCCTAACCCTAACCCTAACCCTAACCCTAATCAGTCACCATCTTACGTCACAATCAGTTGTCCTATTCTTCAGTCGCCATCCTACGATTTAAAAACTTGCTGCCAGGCCGCCGTATGAGACACGGCTGAAGAAAATTATCTTGGCAGTCAACGGTGAACGACGCACAAGCGCCATCTGCACGCACATTAGTATCGGCATAGCGGGGAACCCAGGGCGTGAAGCTGCGAGCAAAGTGAATATTATCGACCGGATTATACCAAGCACACGTGCATGCTGTCAGCCTGCCCGGCTCAGGGTAAAAGACCGACCGTAAGAATATTATCTTGGTAGTCTACGGCGACCGACGTCCGAGACCCAATTCCCTGTATGTATAGGCATCAAGTGAAATTCATGGCGCGATGCTGCGAGAAAAGTGAATATTATATATCAGATTTGCCCATGCACTGACACGTGCTGGCAGCCCGCCCGGCTCCAGTTTGAGCGTATAAAAACGGCCGAAGAAAATTATCTTAGCAGTCAACGGCGACCGACGTCCGAGGCCCAATTCCCCGTATATTAATATAGGCATCATGCGAAATTTATGGCGCAATGCTGCGAAAAAAGTGAATAATATATCCGATTTGATCATGCACACGTGCTGGCAGCCCGCCCAGCTCCAGTTTGAGCGCATAAAAACGGCCGAAGAAAATTATCTTAGCAGCCACCGGCGACCAACGTCCGAGGCCCAATTCCCTGTACGTATATATTAATATAGGCATCATGCGAAATTCATGGCGCGATGCTGCGAGAAAAGTGAATATTATATATCCGATTTGACCATGCACACATGCTGGCAGCCAGCCCGGCTCTAGTTTGAGCGTATAAGAACGGTAGAAGAATATTGTCTTGGCAGTCAACGGCGACCGACGTCGCAGCGCTATTTGCCCATACATTAGCATAGCTGGGAATCGTGGCGCAATGCTGCGAGCGAAGTGAAGCATGTAGATAAGATTTTACCATGCACACGTGCTATCAGCCTGTCCGGCTCCAGTTTGAACGTATAAAAAAGGTCGAAGAATATTATCTTGGCAGTCAACGGCGAACGACGTCGCAGCGCCATTTGCCCATATATTAGCATAGCTGGGAATCGTGGCGTGATGCTGCGAGCGAAGTGAAGCATGTAGATAAGATTTTACCATGCACACGTGCTGTCAGCCTGCCCGGCTCCAGTTTTAACGTATAAGAACGGCAGAAAAAAATTACATTGGCAGTCAACGGCGACCGTCGTTGCAGCGCCATTTGCCCATACATTAGCATAGCTGGGAATCGTGGCGCGATGCTGCGAGTGAAGTGAAGCATGTAGATAAAATTTTACCATGCACACGTGCTGTCAGCCTGCCCGGCTCCAGTTTAAACGTATAAAAATGGCCGAAGAATATTATCTTGGCAGTCAACGGTCACCAACACACCAGCGCCATCTTCATGTACATTAATATCGGCATAGCGGGGAACCCAGGGCGTGATGTTCCAAACAAAGTGAATATAATAAATCGGATTTAACCAAGCACACGTGCTGTCAGTGCTTAGGGGGTATCTCAGCATAGATTTATGGAATAAATTGTTATCAGTAGACCTGTGCTTATTATTAGGAGAGCGCCTTGGCCTGCAATGTATATATTGCCTGGAATTTGATTGTAGAGATTATATATATATATATATATATATATATATATATATATATATATATATATGAATTATGATATTACTTAACAAATAATTAATTTTCTAGTTTTTTTGCAGCACGCTATGATCTTGTCACTCAAACTATGCGTAGACATCGAATCAATATACTGCTTATCTTGCATTCGACATATTAATACATCAAAACATTGTAATACTTTCGGCAGGTATGTTTATTTAGGCAAAACTTTGCAACACAGAAGCATCTAATTCTATATGTATTAATCACAAAACACACTAATCGACTTTCAATTGGTTTTGAAATGAATGATAATGACATTATATTTGTTTATCACAGTGTACACCATTCATGTGCAACAATTGGTAACATGCCAGCTTTCTAGGTATAGTTTCAGCTCATTGATAAACGTCACAGAATTATATACTAGTGAAAATTTGTACATAATGAAAAATAATATCTAATCATGGAGTCCTAGCATGAACATATCTATTCTCTCGCTTTCTTTTCCCTTCTCTCTATCTCTCTCTCTCTCTCTCTCTCTCTCTCTCTCTCTGTCTCCTATTTATCTATCTCTAGCTTGCTATGTATTTCTCAACGTACGTATGTATATGTACGTCAGTGTTTCCTTGTTTGCTTGGTGTGTATGTGTGTGTGCGTGCGTGCGTGCGTGTGTCTGTGCATGTGTACATAAATATATGTATTTGTGTATACATCTTATTATATTGACACATGTGCAGTTCTAGCTATAGCGCAACATTCACTACGGAACGTTTGTTTCGCAGCGCTATGTACACCAGGCGGTTGGATGAATCACATCCACGGCTCCCAACCGACCCACGTGCGACCAAGCAAGCTGGGTTCTGTAGCCTGCTCTATGATGCACTGCACCTGCTGCTCGACTGTGAGGCCCTCTGGTGGCAGCTGGGCACGCAGATCCGAGCGTGGGTCACCGAGAACAACGTTGGTCATTTGTTTTAATGCCTCATGCTTTCTGTGACCGAGTGCCAACTCCGCTCTGAAATCATCCACACAAATATCACTCATTAAGCATTAAGTACACACAATGAAGACAAATTCCTTAATTCCAATTATGCAGTGGAAAATATTGAATTTCGAAGGTCGATTGCAAAAAACACATTCTAAAGTGTAACACACACAAAGATCAGAAGTGAATAGTAAGCATTCTATTACCCACCATGTGTAATTCTATTATTTAATCAACAGCTAATTCTATTATGCAGTTCTGAAAAGGGACGAAATTTCAGTTGCATGCAGTTTTCTTTGCTGAATTGAGAATATGGTTTTTACCACAAACACACAGACAACGATATATATATACGTTCACTCATTTACTTTGTGATATGAGCTGGGTTAGCCCCAATCAACTTGCTCCTGGCGACACCTATTGTTTGTTTTGGGTACCACTCCTGCACCTGCTCTCCTTGATCCGATTCATTGGAATGTATATCCTTGTCTGCTAACCTTTCTGCAGTTGCCTAATAAAACAAACAAAGACGTGAGATGGTTATGGGTTATGGTTAGGGTTGGGGTCGGGGTTAGCATTACAGTTAAAGTTCGGATTAGGCTTAAGACAAGAGTTAGGCCTAGGTTGAGGGCTAAGGTTAGGGTTAGTGTTGTGGTAATGACTATAGGGTTATGGTAATGACTAACGTTACGGGCAGAGTGAGCCGCAGTTTCAGAGTCATTCGAGGTCACGCTACCACCTGCTCTCACCTTCCAGTCGATGGACGGCTCCTTGATGAACACATCGAGAGTGTTAAGCAGCAGTCGGTGGTTGTCACGCAGCGCTCGCAGCGTGTGCACCATCGTCTGGTAGAGCAGGCCACGTCGCTGGCCCTCGTGCGGCAGCAGCAGCTGCAGGAACTGCCGCGTCAGCCGCACTGGCATCAGCTCCGGTATAGGGAGGCACTGTAACAGATAGAAGTCTTTGAGCAAGTAAGCGCAGCAGCTTATTCCGCTTTTGTTGTTTGGGTTTCTTCTTCCTCTTCTTCTTCTTCTTCGTCATCGTCGTCGCTGCCGCCGCCGTCTTCTTCTTCTTCATCTTCTTCTCCCTCTTCTTATTCTTATTTTCTTCTGCCTCCTCTTCCTCCTGCTCCTCCTCCTCACCCTCTTACTTCTTCTTCATCTTCTTCTTCATCCCCAGGGCAGAGTATTTGACTCTACAAGCAGAAACTGGCATCCCTGCAGAGTATGTACACCCCATAACAAGGGGCTCATAATCACCCACTGCCCCTGATGACGACGATGCCACCAACCTATCCCGCTCTTCCCTCCCACGCATTTAACTCTTCCTTCCCCCTAGATTTACCTTCACTTCTTTTCTGCCCTTCCTCTCCTCCCTACACTTACCTCATTACACATTTTTCTCCTCCCCTTATTTACCTTCCCCTCTCCTCCTTCCCACATTTACCTCATCCCTCCCTCTCCTCCCCACACTTATCTTCCACATTTAACCTCCACTCCTCGCCCAGATTTTACGCCCTCGCCTCTCCCTCCCCTACATTTACGCTCCCCGCGTCTCCTCCTATCCCACAATACCTTCATCCTCCCTCTCTCCCCAGCATTAACCTCCCCTCTCCATCTCTACCGCACATATACCGTCATCCCTTCCCTCTCCTCCCGCACATTGTATCTTCCTCCCCATGTCCTCGTCGATAGTTACTCCATCCCTGCCTCTGCCTCCCACATTTTATCATCCCACCCATTTACTTGTCGCTCCCCCTCTCCAACATTACGCCCTCCTCGTCCGCCCAATCCTCCCACATTTACCTCCCTCCCCCTCTTCCCACATTCACTCTTACGGCCCTCCCTCTCGCCACGCACCTGGGGTGGCTGTGGCCGAAGGCATGGCCAAAGTCGATGCCGACCATGCCGCCGTCCTCCTGGCTGACCATGAAGTTGGAGAGGTGGCGGTCACCGACGCCGACGACGTAGTGACAGACGCTCAGCGTAGCGTGAGACTTTTATGAAGTGCGTGCGCAGCGCAAGGAAGGGCTTCCGGAGAGGCGCTGAGACGCAGGAAGGCCTGCCTGCAGAGATGAGTGAGAGTGAGGGGGGTGAAGAGAGTGAGAGAGGGGGAGTGAGTGAGAGAGCGAGAGTGAGCGGGGAGTGAGAGTGAGCAGGGAGTGAGAGAGACAGAGAGTGAAGAGGTGGGAAGTGAGAGGTGAGTGAATGTGGAGGAGGGGGAGTGAGAGGTACAGGAGTGACAAGAGAGGAGCGAGAGGTGGGACGTGAGAGGGATGAGCGGAGGTTGGGAAGTGGAGAGAGGAGAGGAGAGGTGGGCAGTGAGACGAGGGAGAGTGAAGGAGGAGTGAGAGAGGGAGAGTCAGAGCTGGGAGTGAGAGAGGGAGAGTGAGAGGGGAGTGAGAGAGGGAGAGTGAAAGAGTGAGAGGTGGGAGTGAGAATGAGAGTGAGGGAGGAGTGAGAGAGGAAGAGTCAGAGTTGGCGGTGAGAAGGGGGACGTGACCGAGGTGGGAGAGGAGATTGGAGAGTGAGACGAGTGGAAGAGAGGGGGGAGTTGGGAGAGACGTGTGATAGAGAGTGGGGGAGTGTAAGAGGAGGAGAGGCGGAGGAGAGAGAGAGCAAGAGCGAGCCGATCGAGCGCGGAGATTAGAGAGAGGAGTAGAGTAGAGAGAGAGAGAGAGAGAGAGCAGGAGAGAGAGAGGAGAGAGAAGAGAGCCATGAGAGGAGAGAGAGAGAGAGAGCAGCAGCTAGAGAGAGAGAGAGAGAGAGAGAGAAGAGCGGGAGAGAGAGAGAGAGAGGAGAGAGGAGAGCAGCAGAGAGAGAGATGAGAGAAAGAGAGAGAGAGAGAGAGAGTGTATACGTGTGAGAGTGAAAAAAAGAGCAAGAGATAGACGCAGAGAATGTGGACGAAGAGGGGTCGTGAAAGATGCAGGACGTGCCTGCAGATAGAGAATCCAAGACAGAAAGACGTCAAAGAGAGATACGATAAAGGGAAACTCACGGCTGGTAAAGTCTATCATCTACTCATTCCTGGATGAAAAGATTGCACCAGCAACTAGTCCAGTTATATACCAATATTTACCAAAATTATAATCCATAGTCAATTAGGAATTAAGCTGTTAAGAACTTTAAAACTGGACTTTTGTGATACATACCAGTAGGAAAACACATCAGAATATAGGTCCCAGTATGAAAACAGTGATAGTAATTGTTATGACTACTATTAGAACAACTTCTAGCGGTAAATCACGTTCAATAACCTATGTCCGTTATTCCTGGCGTATCTATGATGTCGATTTACAGCTTCAGAATTTCACACCATCTCCACACCTGCTGTAGAAGCGTAGGAGAGGTATGACACATTCTTACCTGAGCAGATCTGGGGGCACCATGCTCTCTCTCTCTCTAAACGACCGGACGGTGTCTGACTTAGAGCACTGGACGAACGTCCTAGCATACAGCTTAACATGGCTGGCTGCCCTCTTGCTCTCAGACGCAGTTAGAGCTGTAGCTGCCCACTTGTTGAAGTGTTCGACTGGATTCATGCTGCCGAAACAACGAAAAAAATTCACGATCACAACATGATGTGGTGCATTGCAGTTTTCTCAATTTCTGTTCTATGTTTGACATTTGTTGCTCTTAATTTTTTTATCGTCATTAAACCAATTTTTCTTATCATGATATAATGTGTTTGTTTGGTTGGAATTTGTATAGTGGGTAAACGTGTCAAATGATTGGCTGCTTACTAGCTGTAGTAGGCGTCATACTGTTGCTGAGTCATCGCCTCTTGCAATAACTGCTTCAGAGGTTTGGTTCTAGGCACCCACTCCAACAGTCCAAGCCTTCAAGATAATAGTTAAGTAAATAAATATGAGAACTACGTAAACAATAAATACGAACCCATGCAATTGATCTATGTTCAAAATCAAAATATTGTGATCAATGGAGACAAAAACAAGAAATCACTGCATCATTGCAAGAAGCAAGAAAAAAAACGGATATAAGAGATTGCGGTGCCACCTACAGTCAACTTTATGTACAAATATAAAAGGAACAGCAATAATAGTGTTTGCCATGAAAGTGAACTTGGTTTCAGGAAATAGAAGGATCGCTGGTGAACATCACAGGTGAAACACACATACCTGGTGCTCATGGGCACAACAGCGTAGGTCCTAAGACGTAGCGCCCTCTGGCGGCAGGCAGCGTCTGCATCTAGACTTCGGTTCATGATGTCGAACAATTGCTCCAGCCTCTGATCCTGTCTGATAAGTTGATTAGTCACAAAAACAGTACACAATTTCAAGGTAGTTTCCCATGCGCGGATGTAAACATGTTGGGGCTGCACTTGTCCGCGGCGCTTTGCATGATGGGATATGATCCGTAAGTATAGAAAAAATGAACGTTCTTACGTCTCCGTAAGGATAGCCACGGCGTTTTTTATCATAGAAGTATGCAGGTTCTATGTAGGTTGGCAGCTAGATACAATAATGTAACCCAAACACAGGTGTAGGGGGTACCCTACGCCTGTCTTTCGGTTACATTATTGAATATTGTATCTAGTTGGCATCCAGGTAGCAGGCATTAGCTTTACGAGTGTAGCCCCTCCGCTCCCGTGGGGGAGCGGAGGGGCTACACTCGTACTCGTAGAGCTAAGCAGGCATATGTATTTATGATGATGAATTATGATATTGATAGACATTACAATAACACAAGCCTATGATAAAAACACTAAGTAAATTCTAACAATAACTAATGTTAGGACTACACTGTTTTTTATCTAGTGGTACTATCTAAAATATTGAGCCATGGTTATTTTTATTTTTTAATATTAATAAATTACAGTCAAGTATTTTAGTCATTATACATTGTCTAAAATGTTGCTCAAAAGAATATTAGTAATACAATATCCTTTATTTCAGGCTTGAGGCGTACGATCGTAACCACAACTTCCGGCAGAATGACGGAGCAGACGCTGCGCCAAAGTGGAAAATGAGCCGTCCGGATGACACACTCTACCACGACATCACCAGCAGTTCTACTGTGCCGTTAGTGACAACCCACCAAGTTAAATCCTTCTTACCACCTGATGATGATATCAAAGAATCCGCTAGGGGTCTTTACTCCAACCGCTTCCTGAGATTTGTTCGATCTGCCATAAGTACGTCCATTCAAGGGAGTATTTTCATTAGAGGACTGTGTCGGGCAGAAATGAAGAAACAGGTTTCTTATTATGTGGACATTGACCTTCATCAGGCTGGTGTTATAAATAGTGCTCAATGTGAGTGTGCTGCTGGATGTGGACCTTTTGCTCATTGCAAGCATATTTTAGTAGTTCTGCTGGCTCTAGTAGATCATTGTGCTGGAAGACAAATGTCAATAGACCTTACATGCACATCACAGTTGCAAACATTTCATAGGCCTAAAAATGTATACAGTGGATCACCAGTAAAAAGTGACTCTTTAGGCATTCTTGGCATGCAGGACCTCATTTTTGATCCTGAACCTGACCACTGCCGTGAAAGTGACATAACATTTCAGACAAGGGTGCACAATGAGGCCATTGGCTATGCTGCTAGGACATCCCATAGGATCCCTCTGCTCCAGCTCATCCCACCAGCAAATATGTATGCCCTCAACAATGATCATGATTATTTAGAGAAAAATCTAGAGGACAACTTCCTAGACACTATACATGTTGCCAGTATCACTACAGATGAGGCTCTGGCAGTGGAGAAGAGGACAAGGGACCAAGCACGGAATAAAAACTCGTTTAAAATATGGGCGACAGAGCGTACAAAACGCATTCACTCGTCAAATTTCGGGCGCATTCTCAAGTGTACGGATCGCACAGACAAGGTGAAATTAGCTCGTTCCCTTCAAACAGTGAGCGACTGCAGGGCGGCACCACTACTTCATGGGAGGAAACATGAACCTATTGCTATACGACAATTTGAAAGGAAACATGACGTAAAGGTATCTCCGTCTGGCATTGTCGTTGACATAGATACCCCTTATCTTGCTTGTTCGCCAGATGGCGTCATTGATCACGAGACACTAGTTGAGGTTAAATGTCCCTATGTAGCGAAAGACAAAACCATTACCCCAGTGACAGTCCCTTATCTGAAACGCGAAGAAGGCAGTAGTAGTGATAACGCTCTTGAACTTGATAAACGTCATGACTATATGTACCAGGTTCAAGGTCAGCTAGCTGTCACAGGCAAGAAGAAGTGTCTATTTGTTGTGTTTACCTTAGTTGACATGAAAGTTATTGAAATCTTGAGAGATGACACTTTCGTATTGCAAATGAAAAGTGGTTTAAAAGACTTCTACTGCAGGTTTTTCAGGCCCCAGTTGCTGCAGAAATTTTTATATAGGGAAACGGACAGATATTGTTGGGATTGAATACCGCGTGATACGGCGCTTGATACTTTCGCGGTTTTCTACCGTCCTAGCACGGGTAATGCGAGATACCGTGTTTGATGCTGTCGCGGTTTGCTACCGTCGTAACACGGGTAACGCGGGATAACCCTGACCTTCTACCTGAGCCCCTCCCGGTCACCGGCATTACCTGAGATCCTCGCCTCCCTTAACGAGGAACATGTACTCGTTCTCGTCGTGTCCGCGTATCGTGATGCGCTTCGGCAGCCGCAGCGACTTCATCACAAGCACCTTCTCATCGAAGCCAGCGATCTTCACGTGATACTCCGGCATCGGCTTGCTCCTACCTCTATACTGACCTGCAGGGAACATTCACGTGCTACTGCTGTTCCACTCGCCTCTCTCCCTTCCTCCCGATAAAACGAATGATATTATTCCAAGAAAGATCTTACATGATGTAAAATATACATCGACATTAGTGTTGATACCACACGCACGCACGCACGCACGCACACGCACACGCACACGCACACGCACACGCACACGCACACGCACGCACACGCACTATATATTATATATATTATAGCTGCAGGTTTACGGGATTTCTCGGACTAGGTTGCTACTTGTAGTCGCGGTGATTTTTGTACTGGGTGATGCCTTTAGGAAGGATAGACTGTGGGCAGCGTTCGCGGGCATGAACTCACCAGGTATTTCTATCTGGCAGGTGGCTGGCGAACTGTGGAAGTCTGTGAGCCACGTGGAATACTCCTTTAGGTTGCCCGGTGAATCCGCAGCCTTCGTCTTCATTTCCTTGCCGAGAGCCGACAAGACCTGGAGATGTCAAGCGACCATTGCATTACACATGAAATGTAATCACTAAATTTCAATTAAACCAACAATGTCCAATAGTATTGATCTGTATAAGGGTATATGGTTGATCTCGCTTGAAGTGTGCCGGTTTGATCTCGTTCAGGCAGGTTAATATCGCATGTTGCCCGTAAACTTTAGACCTTATGTGAACATGGCTCTGATCTATCCAAACTACATATGTTATATATTATATATTTTATATAATGAATATTATAATAAATAATAATGAAGAATTTTATATAACTATATAACCTATGTAAAATAGGTCATCAGTGAATGGGCAACGTGAGTAACAACATAATCCACCTATCTGTCTCAGTGAGTTAGCTACGCTCCTCTTGCATGTTATTGCTAGGTTGGTTGAGCTAGACTAACTTAACGTGTATTTTTCACGTGCACACGCCGAATTGTCATTTGAGCGGCAATTCATTGCCAAGCATTGTTCTTTGGGATGTCCTATTGATTACGACAACGATTGGCTAGAGGCGCCCGTCGACCACCGAGGAGAGCAGGTCCCTTTCTCTCTCACTCTCACACACTCTACCTCCCTCCCTCCGTCCCTCCAACCCCCCTTCCCTTCCTCCGTTCGTCTACCTCTCCCTCTTTCTCCCTTCCCCCCTCTCTCTCTCTCTCTCTCTCTCTCTCTCTCTCTCCCCCCCTCACTCTCTTTCTTCCTCTCCCCACTTCCTTCCCCTACCCTCCCCCTCTCCATCTCACTCTATTCTCTCTCTCTCTCGTTCACCTGGTTCGCGTCAGCTGCCGCCATCGCTAGCAGCTTGCTGCCATCGCGCCCACACTTCTCCTCTACTTCTCTCGCCCATGTCCTCGTGAAGACACTCCAGTAGCGCCCTCTCCCGCCTGGCTCCTCCTGGCTCCTCCTGGTGGTGTCAAACAGGCTCGCGTAGATCTTACGGAATCGCGCGGGGAAGTCGGCGCGTCGCGTCATCAGCAGCGGCCGTGCGTCGGCCACAAAGTCGCTGAAGAGCATGTGCGGAGAGCTGAGCTGCTCCAGGGAAGCCACCAGCTGCTGAAGCTGTATACGGAGATAAAGAAACAGTGAGAGCATTGAAGGAAGTTACCAGCTGCTGCAGCTGTAT